ATGGACGGTAGCTGTGGATAAAACTAAGAAACCTCTTCTAATAACTGACAAGCTGATATCATTGAATTATGCTATTGGCATTGTTCACTTTCTACTATTCACTTAATATTTCTGATTGGGTGTAGAGTTCTTATGTTTGGTCTCTGCCCAGCAAAGACCTTTCCTGTTTCCTTTGTCCCCTTCAGAAGTCTGAACAACATCTGGTCAGTCTTTTTTGTTACGCTAACGTTTGTGAAAAGTGTTTAGTTATTTTTTTTGCTTGGGTGACTCAGGCCACTTTGTGTTAAAATTTCAAACTAGGCATGTGCATCATAGTTTCTGATGAAGATTAGTTATGGTAAATCTGGAAAAAATAATTTGGGGACAGTAATGTCATAAATGCTTGAAAATCCTGGCCTGGGCTTGTGTTATATATTAATTTTTTCTTACTGATTTAAACACGCACCAGGTACATCATATTTCCCCATTCTGGGTTTTTGATCATTCTCATAACTGCAATTGATTTCCAAAACACAATTTAAAGCAGAGCATTTCCCATTGTTTATACAGAGTCCTCCCAATATATAGGCCTCCAATTCTGGAGGCATTTATTGATAAGTACTGCTTAAACTGGAAACTCTGCCTAGAACTCTCTCATATAGAGCAATGAAAAAGCTGTAATTTGTATTTGCAATACCTGAATGACACGATCTGGGGTTTGAGAGGTGCTTGGCATCAACTCCCATTGACTTCATTGGGGATTAAGGAGACACAGTTTCAAAGGGCTGGGCCTTATGTATTATGTTGGGGTTATAAAATTACAACTTTTAATATTGGAAGGGGTGGGGACAAACCCTGTTTCAAATCGAGCTGCAGTTCAGACACCGGCTTCTTAAGTGTGCGCGTAAATTAAAAAGTTTAACCTGGAAATTTTCATTGGTGCAAGGGAAGAACCTGTTTTAATACAATCAGCTTTGGTTTAACTCTGCCCTTTACATACCTGAGCGCCATTTTCTGTCCAGCCAGCTGCTAGCCAGATAACCATCACTGGACTCAGTGAAGCAATTTAAAAACAAGGAAGTGGGTCTGGTGTGGATCTAAAATTTGTTTTCCCCACTCTTGAATCTCTAAACTAGGCCTGAGTTTTGTGTAATATCTTGGCCAAGAAGAGAGTCAAACTCTTGAAATGGAAATTTTTTTTGACCACTTGTCTCATAGTGGGATTTAATTTATGTATTGAAGTTCAAATACAGATCAGGACCAATTAACCTTTCCTGCAAACTCAGAGAAATATTTGGGCATGATTATGTTTAGCTCCAATTACAAAGGCCTAAAATGAGATTCATATTGGCCAAGTGTTTTAAAAGTGACTAGTGATTTGCGGTGCTGGGTTTGAGGTGTCTTAAAGTTGCTCTCAGAAAGTATTGAGCACTTCCCCTCTAAAATCCAGGCCCCTTAAAGGTGTCTCAAGGTTGGCACATAAAAAGCAAGGAACCCAAAACCACTGGTCATTTTTGGAAACCTTGGCCAGTTGGTTTTATTCTGTTGGTCATTAGAATGATGCCTGTATATATACATATCTGTAAATAATTTCTATCAATGTTGGTATATAACTTATTATATAGTTACTGTACAATATCAGCACCCTTCTCCTCTCCCCAAACAAAATGCACTCTGCTGTTTATAATACATAATACATAGCAGTGGGCAGTGTCTTGGGTTGTTTTTATTCATTATAGATGATGACCATATGTGGTGGCTTTAAGTTAGTTTTGAGTTATGTGGTCAGTCGCTGAATGGTGAAGTACAGTATATTGCATTACTTGGTATCATGTACCCTGTATATTCCCTTTCTCTATGCATGGGTATATTTATATGCAGAACAGCAGAAGAGGCCCATGAAAGCTTTTGTTGGGAATTTGTGTAAGCATTCAACATAAAGAAATTAATTGTCTGTACTAGTGCTTTTTTTCCCCCTTGCTGCAGAAAATACAACAAATGCCTTTATATGGAATGTAGCTGCTGCTTCCTGTAAATGTTTATAAGATGTTATTAAAAACATATGTCTTCTCTTCCCACAGACCTTGTTTAGAAAGCTTGTTGCAAGCATGTTGTTTTAGCTTTGCTTGCAAGAAACAGCATCTGTTGTACTAAAAATGGTAGTTTTGTACAAATGTTTTTATCGCTTCCTTTTGTAAGGCCCGATAGATTTGGGAGCTGCATTTTCATTGGTTCTTTCCTTTGACAAAAAGCAAGCCGTAATCATTCGTGCCAGCCTCTAGAGATTTTCCTTATTCAAACCAAGCTGCTTACACTCGCTGTAATAACAGCTAACTTTATTTCATCTGCTTTTTAACCCTGGGGTTAACTTTGATGCTTATAAAAGTGGAACTGGAAAATGCATACCAGCAATATGCAGAAATCACACCCCCATACCTGTGTTAATCATGTTAATACTGTCTGACCTGCAAGGCTCCTGGCATTCACATCCTGAGCCTCTTCTGAGCAGAGATTGACAATATAGATAAATAGGACCAAATTATATTGGGCAATACATTTGCTATTCTATACATGTTTAGTTCCCTTTGACTTCAGTCTGAATACATAGTTTCAATGGAGACAACGTGTATATATCGAGTACCAGAGTATGGCACCTAATGACTGTGATGCGGGGAAGGCAGAAATCAGCCGACTCCTATTTGTTTGATTCTAATACAGATGTGAAACCCAGCTTCTAGAGAGTAGTGTATTAAATCACTGCACCTGCTATCCTTTCTTCCTATTTTTCTGCTCCCTTATCAGAACCCTGGAAATTCCTCCTCCTTTCCCTGCCCTCCCCCCGACTTTACATCCACCTCCCAAGTCCTGTGTGGAAGCTGTCATTTTCTTAGTGTTCAGTGGACTGAACAAGTTGTCTTTCCAGCTTGTCCCTGATGTCTCTTAAGTGACTGGGGTGGGTCGCTGTTGAGTGATGAGGCCCTCTTTTCCCCGTTTCCTGTGGCTGAGTGCTGGCTTCACAACAACAGGACTTTACGGTTGTAACACTTCCCCCAAATTAAGAAGAAAAACATAATAATTTTTTTTAAAAAGCTGGATAATCACATGGTGCTAATGTTCCTGTTCTGTTCCAACTGCTTCTGGAGCCTATTAGAGAAAGTGGAAACAAGGAGGAAAAGCCAAGCTAGCCCAGATGCCTTTACTGAAGGTCATGGGCCATGAAATTCAATGATGCCTGTAATTTCCCAGGTTGTCCTAATTTCTCTTTTTATAGATTGGCATGATATTTGCCCTCTTCCAGTCCTCTGGGATGTTTCCCATCTTCCATGAGTTTTTGAAGATAATCACTAATGGCTCATATATTTCCCCAGGAAATCTCTCTCTTGCCTGGCGACTTGAAGACATCTGACTTGTCTAAGTACTTTTTTAACTTGTTCTTTCCCTATTAGCCTCAGATCCTACCTCATTTTCACTAGCATTCACTATGTTAGACATCCATTCACTACTAACCTTTCTGGTGAATACTGAAACAAAAAAAGTCATTTAGCACTTCTACCATTTCCACATTTTCTGTTATCTTTCCCCTCTCGTTGAGCAATGGGCCTGCCTTGTCCCTGATCTTCCTCTTGTTTCTAATGTATTTGTAGAACGTTTTCTTGTTACCTTTTATGCCTCTAGCTTGTTTAATCTCGGTTTGTGCCTTGGCCTTCGAATTTTGTGCCTACATGTTTGTGGTGTTTGTTTATAGTCATCCTTTGTAATTTGACCTAGTTGGACCTAGCTGGGTTGTTCAGAGGACTTGGGGCCATTAGGACTCAAGAAAGCAGGAAGGGCCCTTCTGCCACATGAGGCCACCACATGCTGTGTGACCTTGTCCTCTCCTGCCCAAGCGGCTGCTTCTTGTCTGGCTTGCTATAAACCCATCTGGCTTCCTTTGTTCTATCTTTCAGGTAACTTTCCACTGCTCTGACCTCACCCGTCTCCTTTGAGGAGTTAAACTAAAACTGTTTTTTTATGGACGCAGCTGTCTTTAGTATAACTTTTGTGAGGTCTAAGTACCATTGTTAATGTTAGAGAGAGAAGGGGAGTGAGGTAATATCTTTTATTGGACCAACTTCATCTGGTGAGAGAGAATTGAGCTTTCAAGCTTACATAGAGATCTTCCTCAGGTCTGCTAAGTATTTCCCATTGTACCTGCTACAGGACCTATCAGCAGTGACGAGTCCATATATATACAGGCACTCATGTTACAGAAATTTTCCAATTTCATAATAGCAACCAGAATTCATAAGTTGTACAGCCATTTTCCAAATTCATCATGCTCTGCCAACGGCATGCATCCCTCTTCATGCCCTATCCTATACTTATGCGGCAGGAACTTTCTCCTTCTGCTGCCAGGTGCTCTGCACCTGCAGAGGTTAGGGTAGAATGTGGTTAGCGCAAGTAACTAGCTGTAGGTGTTAGAGAACTTAATGCTAGTATCATTTACCTTTTCTGTATCTAATGGGCCAAACTCAGACATATGTGCTGTCAGGTGTGTTTTTAATATACATTTTAGGTTTTCCTTTGCTACACCAAGTTTATACTTTGTTTTCAGGTTTTAGTTTAAAATCCATGAGCTAAAATTGTTTTTGCCAGTTATTTTTCCATTATCAAAAAGACGCATTGGCACAGTTGCTGGGAAATAAAATGTATAAAGTAATCCAAGTCTCATATGAGGTATCTAGTGAGATGAAAGCCTATAAATATGGAATTTTCTTCCCCACCTGCTATAAAGATGGTCATTTTATTCATTGGCCCTTTGGGTCTTAATTAATGAAGACCAGGAGGTGACTGGCTTATCTGTTTTAGTGTGGTGGTGAAATCATAAAATATCAACTATGGGCAACTGAGGAAGAAACTGAAATTCCCTGATGACTTTGAAAGAATTCACTGAAATCAAATTGCTTGCAAATATTTTACAAGACTTCTAAAAATTGATGTTACCAAAACTGTGAGTAAAAAGGTGATACTTTTTTTTATATATACCTACAGATATTGATGATGTCAAGAAACACAAACCGGGTTATCTTGAGGCTACCGCTGAGTGGTTCCGATTATATAAGGTCCCAGATGACAAACCGGAAAATCAGTTTGCTTTTAATGGAGAGTTTAAAGACAAGGTGAAGATGATATGGATTTAAAGATGCATCTTGCTGGCATATGTGGTTTTTGGGATGATATATCCTAGATTTTTTTGGAATTGCTTGCAAGGAAGTGGTTGGTCCATCATAATGGAATAAAGCTATGTCAGCATTCTTTAAATGCAGTATGGAGGGGGTAGGAATATATTATCAAACATCAGAACTTTATTTGGCTTATTTTCATGTGTTTGTAAAATGAAAACCTTAATCCATATAGAGAATTTTGAATAGCTGTATTTTTGTCTGTGTAGATAATTAGGAAAACTTGCAAGATTAAACGTATCTCAAGAAAATAATGGCTTTTGAACAAGTGGGTAAAATATTAGGTCCCACTCCTGTGGAGATTTACACACATGCATATGGTTTTTGCAGGATCAGGGCTGGGTTTTTTTTCCAATATCTTTGTCATCATAGGAAAGTAATGGGGAATAGATTTTGTGCATAGACTTGCAAATCTTCATGACAATTTTGCAAGACTGTATATTTTAAAAGAAGCAGTATGGTCGGTTGCAGACTTTTCCATGCTTGGTCTTTGATCAGAGGTGATTTTTTTGGGTAATTTTGAGTAAAAATGTTTCAGCAGTTTTTGTCTTCAAGACTAAAGATCTTTTCCCATCTTAAGAAAAATTCTCATGAGTTTTTGACAACCTGTGGCTAAAATAGCTGGTGATTGGAAGTGCCGTGGACATGGGAATAGTGCTCCCTGTAGAGACTGTGCTCACTGTGGCCATTTTCCAGGTGAAATTGGGTTTGATTTGAGTTTAAAATAGTTTGGAAATCACACATTATGTACAATCTATAGAGGGATTTTCCCCCTAAGCATTATAAACGGGTTCCAGAGAAATGATGCCCGTACACAAATTGGCTATAAAGTGTCTAAGCTATAAAATGCCTACTAACCAACCCAAACAAACTTTCCAATGTTGTCTGGGTGTAAAGATCCTCTTATTACTCTTCTCCCTCAAATGAATCATTAGTCTGGTGGAAAATACCCAGTGTTGCAAGGCCAGACAACCTGAAGCTCTATTGCCAGCTCCTCCACTGTCTGCCTTTGTTAAGTTTGTACTTTGCAAAGCATATTCAGTGAGGCTTGAAGAAAGCTGCAGCCAAAACTGCTGGAATTTTGGGTCAGAGTTTGCACTAAATACCTTACCCCCTGACCAACTTGGACATGCTTCATTTGTTTCTAGAGACCCAGGATGTAAGAGAGTTACTCTTCCCCAAAATGTTCCAGTGGCACTGGTGAAGGGTGGCAACATCTCAGTGGTATCTAGCCACCTAGTCCAATTATGAAATGTGTATGCTCTGTCTGCAAGTGTGTGTTAGCCCATAGAGCTGTGATGCCCAAAACTTTAAAACTTCTTGGAGCTCTTTAATTTCCTCCCTGTATTTCCTTTTTTAACAACAACAACAACAACAAAAACCAACACGAAATTAAATTCCCACCAACAAAACTAGGCAATTAATATACCGTTTTAATGTAACACTGAAGTTGGATGGTTAAGCAGTCAAATCAGGAAATGCCAATATATTGCTGCGTGTGCAACATTAACTTTGACCCTTGTGTATATGTGTTATAATACAATCTTTAATAAGGGTCATGTGTTGTTTCTCAAATAATAATGCATCATACAATGTTAAGACATCTGTAGTTACACATGTAGAATCCTGTATGATGATTTATTCCTGTACACATACACTGATGCCTTTTTTCATGAATCCTCCTTATTGTGTCTGGCCACCAACCAAAAGTATCCTCAGTATGATGCCAATGTACTTGGTGGGTAGTGAGGCCTGTTTCTCACCTTAGAAAAGTGTGATTGTAGGAAGCCTCCTGTGAAGCCTTATTAAAATTTTTGGAAAATATACCATGTGAAATTGCATTTTTAATAAATTAATTCTTTGGAATTTAGTTAATAGCTTTTTATATCTCTTGATATAAACTAGGATTTTGCTGTTGGAATTATTAAATCCACCCATGAATACTGGAAAGCTTTGCTTCATAAAAAGGCTGACAGAGGTGCTATAGAATGGTAAGTGTCCATTCAAAGCTATTCCTATTTGTATTGTATTCATTCTGTCAGTGTGGCAGCTGTGTATGAATCACTTACATTTTTTGCTTTGAGGTGGCAGTAACATTTCTGTTTTTACAGCATCCCGATAGATAATTGCTCTTGCATGGTAACTACACAGGGTTTACTGGAAATTACTCAGAAAATATATATTGATCATGTGAGTCCTGCAGATTATTTATAAGTAAACTTTAGTAACAGCTCAAAAACCAGTTATTGTGTAATCTGCTGCTTTTTGCACAATACTGATAACTTTTAATTTCTTTGAACGTGTCCTGTTATGTAATTTGATAATATAGCCAAGTGTAGCTTGTTAATATTTAGGAATTACTTAATTAAAAGTATTCACTTTAAACTAGAGAAAGAAGGTTAGGATTGTGTTAGTGATTTATTATGGTGACGTTATACAGTTACACTGTAAAATGAAATTTATGAATTCTTTAAAATGTTAAAGATAGTAAGCTAACCTAACCTAAGGAAAAGCAGAGTTATTGCTGTCATTTTGTCCTTACCACCCCATTGTGTATCACTGCACATGAATTTATGATCAGCTTCTATTCTAAAATTCCTGCAGTATTTAAATACAACAAAGGAATTAAGTTGTCAAGTTAGTCCTCAACTATGAATTTCCCTGTCCCCAATAATACTGTTCGGGATTTTCCTGAGAGCCTCCATATTCCATACAAAGCCCTAATGAATCCTCTGCCTATCATTTATTCTATACTGTTGTTGTTGTTGTTTGTTTTGCAGTAGCACCAGGAGTCCCCAACTGAGATTGGGGCCCCAATGTGCTAGATACTGCACAAACACATAGTGAGAGAGACAATCCCTGTCCCAAAGAGCTTAACAGTCTAAGTAGGACACAGTCAAAGAGTTGGAGAACAAGTGTATTGTTATCTCTGTTTTATAGATGGGGTATCTGAGGCACATTGAGATTAAGTGATTTGCCCAAAGTCACACTGCAAGTCTGTGGCAGAGCCAGAAATTGACCCCAATTCTCCTAGCCAGCATTCTTATTGGACTGCAAGTCCCAAGTTGGTAATATTGAGCTTCATATTTTTTGATTCCAAAGCACTTAGGCTACATGTTGGTATAATTTATAAATCAATCCCAGCCTTACTTTGAGGAATCGATACTATGCAGTTTATCCTATCGGATAATTTAGATGAGACCTTACAAACCAAAGTCCAAATTCAGTCTTGGTATGAATGGATGCAGCTGCACTAACTTCAATGGAACTTTAGCCATTTACACTAGCAGAGGATTTGGCTCCATGTTTTCGTCTGCTGTCCATGAGCATTAAAGATCTCGAACGCTTTTTGAAAGAGCAGAGGTTTTCCCCAGGTCTTTGATCAACATTTCTCCTTTGCCACCAGTGTGCTGTGAAGTCAGTTTATTGGATTCCTTTCCCAAGGGTTGTCTCCATGCTATTGTGTCTATTTTTATAGAGAACTTTGGGATCCTTTTAAGGACGAAAGGCACTATATAAACGTAAAATATTAAATGTATAAAATGCTGGTTATTGTTGCTTCATTTTTGACTGACTCACTTCTTGGTAGATATAAACATTTAGGCTCTTTGAAGAGGCTGTTTATCATAGGTAGGTTTTATTCTGTTCCATTTTTTTTATTGTTAACTATCTTATTAATTTTTATTTTTCAGTACGAATGTTTTGGTGCATGACAGCCCCTTTTGTTGCAGTGAAGAGGATGCCAGGTTAATTGTGCAATCAGTAAGGGCAAAACGCTTTTAATAGAACTTTTTTATTTTTAAAAATTGTTACTAATGCTAGCAAAAGATCCAAAAATCCAGCATTGAAATAAAATAGGTAAACAAAGTGGGTCCTTGCATTAAACAAAGATGTGAGGTTTAAAAAAAATAAAATGTAGAATACAGAGATTATGGGGGACATATAACTATTATAATATAAACCTTTTTTGCTGCAGTATAATAACTGTGTTTTCTGGCAGGTTCATTACCGTTTTGCTGATTTTCTATGGTGCTATTTCTTCTGATGCTAAATAGCAAGATTGACTATGTGTATCTAGCCTGCTGTCTTCTCTGTCTGCCCTGTTGCCATGAGTTACCACCCAGTGCTAAAACTCATTGACTAGCTGACTGTACTCTCTAATCACTAAGGGGATCCTTTGTTTGCCTACTTGCATAATTAAATGCATCGCTGTACAAGGAAGGGAGAAATGTTTTTCTAACTGCTTGTTAAAGAATAGTGCCTTGTTCTGCAAATTAATGTAAAATTCAAATACAAATTAATGTAAAATTCAAATACACGGGTTCTCTGTTTAAACTAGAAAAATGTCCTGCAGGTTTTATACTTACATGTGCAAATATAATTGGAGGAGAAGTTATTCCATTTAAACGTTATATTTTGGAGACCACAACTTAAGCAACAACAACAAAAAAGCAATGTAAAGTGCCTGATTTAACCAAAAAACCCCCCAAACATTTCTCACATGTATTTGCTTTCGCCATGAGCATATCGGGTGTTTTGCACTTGGATGTGGCTATATAGGCAACTAACTAGTCTTAACTCAAACTCTCTCAATTGCTTGATTTGTGCGCACAGTTATAGCAATTGTGCAAGTGTAAGTGTCAAATGAGACCTCAGGCCTCTTAAAACTAAGCTCTGAAAAAAACTAATGTTTTTACTTTCAAAAACCAGACATACAGACCATATACATATTTGGAGGCTTCTTTCCTAGTTGCCTCACTTTTTCATTGTTTACTTGTAAGATACAGGCTAAGATCTTGAGTAGCTACACCAGTAATATATCAGTGATGCAAAATCCAGGACCTTTTATGTATTGGGATAGTGATTCAAATACTCCTGTTTATTTTATCTAGTTGAGGACTAATAAATTTCCCTGTGATGGGTGCTTATGAAATTGTATCTGCAATAAGCAGTTAAAAGTGAATTCCCTTAAAAAGTGTTGCCAGAAGATTAAATATAGTAAGGTGTCAGTTATACCTTCTATCTAGGGGAAGCTTAGAACTGAATTTCCCATTTCTGTGCATTTAAAGTCTTAACTAACATTACTGTAAAAGGGTTACTCTCTTCTTTAAAATGTTGTATTTTAAGCTAATAAGTCTTTGTTACTCACAACAAAGCTGGTTAAACTGAAAGAAATTTCAAAATCAAACTTTTCAGTGTTGATTCTGTTCAGTTTCTTTCTGCATTTGTCTCAAAGTATGTCTACACATGAATTCTTAGGCATGTTTTTTAACACGTTAACACAATTGTAAAATTTTAATGTAGAAATAAAGAAATGTTTGTTTCAGTACCCACATTCATTCCTAGTCACATTTATCTGATTAAATGCAACTATCAGCAAACATTTGTGTTTTGTCTGTGCTAGAATTTACAATCATTTTTCATAAACATGTATTAAAAACACAACTAAATATTCAAGTTCAGACATACCATCAGCTTGGACAATGAAAATCAATGAAATAATTGTCAGTTTCAAGTCCTCTGCCCTGCACTGTTTGCATTTGAAACATTCCAGGTCAATTTGTTTGTTTTAAAACAACTGTTTGTATGGTTTTTTAAAACAAAAATTCCAGTGGAAACATTTCTACTGCAGTGTTTACAAAATCAAAAATTTTAAATCTCATTTGTATTGGTGTTCCATGGTATTGTCTTATAGTAGCCACCAATGTTTTAAACTTTTTTTTCTTCCTGCTCCCATTCCTCACTTTCTTTTCCTTGAATGGTTTCACTGTTTCTTTGTAGTATTTTACTAAACCCCAATCATCCATGACCCTCCCTTGCTTCTGTTGCTTTTACAGATTTTTCTTCTTTAATTTTTTAGGGCTGTCAAGTGATTAAAAAAATTAATCACGATTAATCACATGATTAAACAATTATAGAATACCATTTATTTAAATATTTTCGATGTCTACATTTTCAAATATATTGATTTCAATTACAACACAGAATACAAAGTGTACTGTGCTCACTTTATTTTTATTTTTGATTACAAGTATTTGCACTGTAAAAAACAAAATAAATAGTATTTTTCAATTCACCTAATACAAGTACTGTAGTGCAATCTTTTTATTATGAAAGTTGAACTTACAAATGTAGAATTATGTAAAAAAAAACAAACCCTGCATTCAAAAATAAAACAATGTAAAATTTTAGAGCCTGCAAGTCCCAAGTTTGTTTACATTTGCAGGAAATAATGCTGCTAGCTTCTTGTTTATAATGTCACCTGAAAGTGAGAACAGGCATTCTCATGGCATTGTTGTAGCTGGCGTTGCAAGATATTTACGTGCCAGATGTACTAAAGATTCATATGTCCCTTCATGCCTCAGCCACCATTCCAAAGGACATGCATCCATGCTGATGGTGGGTTCTGCTTGATAACAATCCAAAGCAGTGCTCACCAACGCATGTTCATTTTAATTATCTGAGTCAGATGCCACCAGCAGAAGGTTGATTTTCTTTTTTGGTGGTTTGGGTTCTGTAGTTTTCGCATCCGAGTGTTGCTCTTTAAAGATTTCTAAAAGCATGCTCCACACCTTGTTTCTCTCAGATTTTGGAAGGTACTTCAGATTCTTAAACCTTGGGTCAAGTACTGTTGCTATCCTTAGAAATCTCACATTGGTACCTTCTGTGCGTTTTGTCAAATCTGCAGTGAAAGTGTTCTTAAAATGAACATTTGTTCGGTCATCATCTGAGACTTCTATAACATGAAATATATGGCAGAATGTGGGTAAAACAATTCTTCTCCAAGGAGTTCTGTCACAAATTTAATTAACGCATTTTTTTAATAAGCATCATCAGCATGGAAGCATGTCCTCTGGAATGGCCAAAGTATGAAAGGGCATACGAATGTTTAGCATATCTGGCACGTAAATACCTTGCAATACCAGCTACAAAAGTGCCATGCAAATGCCTGTTCCCACTTTCTAGTGACATTGTAAATAAGAAGAGGGCAGCATTATCTCCTGTAAATGTAAACAAACTTGTTTGTCTTAGGCCTGGTCTACACTAACACCCCAATTCGATCTAAGGTACGCAACTTCAGCTACGTGAATAACGTAGCTGAAGTCGACATACCTTAGTTCGAACTTACCGCGGTTCAGACGCGGTCCACACGCGGCAGGCAGGCTCCCCTGTCGACTCCGCGGTACTCCTCTCGCAGAGCTGGAGTACCGCAGTCGACGGCGAGCACTTCCGGGATCGATTTATCGCATCCAGACCAGACGCGATAAATCAAACCTGGAAGTTCGATTGCCAGCCGTCGAACTACCGCGGTAGTGTAGACCTGCCCTTAGTGATTGGCTGAACAAGAAGTAGGACTGAGTGGACTTGTAGACGCTGAAGTTTACATTGTTTTGTTTGAGTGCACTTATGTAACAAAAAATAAATCTCCATTTGTAAGTTGCACTTTCACGACAAAGATTGCACTACAGTACTTGTATGAGGTGAATTGAAAAATACTATTTCTTTGGTTTATCATTTTTACAGTGCAAATATTTGCAATCAAAAATATTTCAATTACAACAGTGAATACAATAAATATGAAAATGTAGAAAAACATCCAAAATATTTAATAAATTGCAATTAGTATTGTTTAACAGTGCGATTAAAACTGCAATTAGTCGTGAGTCATTTTTTTAATCGCAATTCATTTTTTTGAGTTAATAACGTGAGTTAATTGTGATTAATCGACAGTCCTTATTTTTTTGTTTATCTAGGTAGTCCAATTACTCTTAACGTATTTATCCTTGAGTAAAATGCACAATATGTTTTAATTGGTATTTTTAATGTATTTAATTTCCAATCAAAAGTAACTTGAAGTGGAAACAGTACAGCCTTTAATATTCTCTTGAGAGCAGAACGTCAAATTCTAGATATTAAATTTTAAACTGGTGTCTTTTCTACAGTCTTGCATTGCCAAATTCAGTTGTCAGACATTCAGCTCTTGCAAGCTGAACTGACAGTATACAGAGATCAACTGCAAAGTCTTAATGGCTGTGAGGTTTTCACATGTACCTGGAAATTTAAAAAAAAAATGTTTTCTGTGGTTTCTTTTACTTCCTTCCATTGGCTTATGGATAGGCACAAGAGAAATCAAAGCTATAGTGGAGTGTTGACTTACAAGTATAATTGGAAACATATTTCCATATTCCTGAGTCACCTGCACTCTTTGGAACAGCTGCCATGCTTGTTTCTAACCCATTTTAGAGAGAAGATTTTTGTATTGGATGAGTGGTATATACCTTTTATTTTCATGAGATATATTAACTGCAAAAATAAAAGGCATACTCTGTTGCTATAACTCATATATTTTTACGAAGAGTAGAATGCCTAGAATTTCCATGCCTAAGAACAAAGTAAAAAGCAAATGATAAAGAAGTCTTCATTGCACTGCTTCTGCATATATAGTTATGGCTGGGCCAGTTTCTAATACCCCTGTTGTTGTTGGGTGACACCTTACTCCATGGGTAGACCTGTTGACTTCAACAGATTTAGGGTGTTGGCATCTGGGCCTTTATGATTTGACAAACGTTATATTTGAGACGCAAATGACTTGTCAGTATTGGGAATTAATTTCTGCTCTGTTACCCTAATGGGTGCACGTTTGGCTGGTTTCTGCCTTCCTTTTAAGTATCCAGCATTGACCACTTTGTAAGAGTGTGTTTCTGCGTCCTCTGTCTCTTAAGTGTGTTTTATGTTGTTGATCTTTCCTCCTTGTCTCACTTTACTCTTCTCTCCCAGCTGAGTTTCAGGACAGTTGGCCTAACTGTGCTCTGACATTAGTGAAAGTCAGGAGTGTTCCACTGCGGTTGATGGCGTTACCCCCGAGTAAAATTGGTACAATCAGAGAGATCAGAAGAGGTAGTCTGTGTCTGACAGCAGTAGGTACTGAATGTTTGAAATACCCAAAATTACCCTGGCATCTGTAGCCAGACATACAACAGAGTTTATAACTGTCTGTAGATGGTGAAAGTTTCTGGTGTTTCCTGATATCTTGTGCTGTCTCTTTCTCAGCACCAGTGTTGGTGCACACTGAAAATTAGATTCTGGAAACACCAGAACATGTTGCTGGATATGTCAATGTTAAAATCTACCATTTACTTTACAGTAAGTGTTGCCATCTATAAAACTGACCTGGGCAGCCAAGCCTTTGTTTAACATTAATCCCAAGAACTGCTTGCTCGCTCACTCTACAAGGAAGCTGCTTAAAATGTTTTTATAAAGTTGGAAAAGCTCCAAGATGAACTATAAATAGCTTGCAGAACAGTTTTTCTCAGACTTATCACATTATTCTTCCCTTATAAAACTGGAAAGAAAATGTGGTAGAGGGGCTTTGCTGGGAGGGGTATCTGATAAAAGTACTTTGGTAGGAATACTTTCCAGGCAGAAGTATCTTTTAAAAGAGAGAGGAAGAGGGGCAGTCTTCCCCTGAGAACTTAAAAAACCCAACCAAACAAAATTACAGAAAATATACCAGGTTGTTATGTTGATGATGTTGCGTGTGGACAGTAGGAGGGTTATGGCTAAAACCCAGGTAAGAGCCCTAAGAGTGGTGACCTCCCTTCCCCTTCCCTATTAATCTCATGGGGTGTTAACTCTACAGCCAGATGCTGATACTTTAAATGTCAGTATTAAGTATTTAATTGCTGATAATTTTAGCAGATGGGATGGGAGTGAAGCCCACGTGGAATTGAGATTTGCTGGAGAGAAGGAATTTCAGAGGGTAGGAAATAGAAGAGAGGAGAGAAATAGAAGGATGGGAAAGGAAGTGAGACTAAGGACAGAAATAATACTGGTCCTAAATGTGAAAATGTTTTCTCGCTGAGTGCTGCTAGATGTGACAATAGGTGGACAAATAAAATTAACAACCAAGTTTAGTTGCACTAAGCTATATTTCCTAGCATTGATCTTTGTGGAACCAACGTAAATGGGAGATTCAGTGTGGGCTGAGGGATATATGTAGCTTTAAAGTTATACAAAGCCCCATGGACCACAGTTAAATATAGAATGTATCCCTTCTACAGAATGAGTTTGACTCCCCTGTTATAGAGATTGTTCTCCCCCCCCCCCCCCCAAAAAAAAACATAGTTGTGGAAATTTAATAAGAAACGTAATCATATAGTAACATTGCTGCAAAGATGTTTTCATCTTTGCTGTTTGCAAATCAAAAAATCCTCTTTATCCTACAAGAGTAAATCATCTTTATTCTAAACAGGTATTCATCTGCTCCTGGTAGGTCTGTGCCTGCGTTTGAGTGAGACAGATACTTATATAGGTAGTAAGAAAAATGGAGGTGTGAGAGGGAGGAGTATTGTCTTACGGTGCCAGTGGTATGTTTCTTTTGTGCTATCATCTGTTGACTTTCACAATAAAATAACCTAGAGTTTGGACACACTACATATGGAGTGTTACTAATATTGTGGTTTTTTTCTGTAGGCACCACCTCCTGCGAGTGGAGATTCTGTTTCTGCAGAAGGTACAGTTTATTTTTACTCCAAATGGCAACATGTATTTTTGTTTCATTTGCTGGAAAAAAAATGAGACAAAAATAGATCCGTTGAAAAAGTTTTTGTGAACTAAACATACTAAGCATGAGACCTGATAAAAATGCTTATATAGGGCCAGATTATGCTTCCCTCACTTCTTTTGAATAGTACCTTAGACAATGAGTAGTTCTACTAAAGTCAAAGGGACTACTAGTCAAGTGGCATAAAGTACTAATACCTACTTGGTGTCGATAAGGGTAGTCTAGCCCGTGTCAGTCTAGAATTAGATGAGCAGTCATACTAATATTTTTCTGTTTCAGAAATTATGGAAGGCCATATTTATCCTTTTAAGAAATGTTGCTTTGATTTCTTCCTTGTGGTAACTTTAAAAATGAAACAAAACAAACTATCCAACAAAACTAAGCCAAACTTACTTTTTCTGTGTTAATTAAAGCAAAATTGACTTTCCCCATTCAGGTTAACAAAAATGATAGTTTTAGTTGAAGTACAGGACTCTGAACTAAGTTTGTTCAATATGCTTTGTTTACTTAAAAAAAAAAAAAAAAAGCCGTTGACTTTTTAATGCCAAAAGCACTGTATGAGAGAGGAACATGCACTACTACAAATTGGAGGGGGGAAGGGAAAGACAAGAAGGAACTTAAAATCTTGAGTCTAGTTCCAAATTCTTCACAAAATAACATCTGTGTAATCAATTTCATGGGAAAGCAAGTTGCATTCCTTTTGCCCTTATATGGTATGCCAATAAATAGCATTTATTTACTAAAATATTCCATCTCAAGCCTCTGACTCAGTACTGGCCACAGTCTGCCTCATCTTTGATGTGTGCAATACATCAGGGCTGTACACTGTTGCAGGATGTAATTTTCAACAAAGTTGTATCACAAAATAAAATGTTTACTTTGGGGGCACTCTTTTCATGGATTGGTGATATGGTTCAAAGAACTGTATGTGTTTGGAAAGGGAGGATACGAAAGAAGCTGAAAGTGTAGACTACTGCATTTCCAAGTGTTTGCATCTGGTTATCCATGTAGAATTAATACCATTCTTGACGTGTATTTTTGTTTTAGTTGATGTGTGGCACTTTCTTAACAAGTGATCATCGGAATGTTCTGAAGTCACATCATCAAATCTTAAATCATCCCTTTTTTCCTGAGTTTTGAAGACAGGCTTGGTTCCTAATTGCTGGGTTCCTGTTGGAACAACTTTTCAAGTAACATAAACCCTCTATCATGTAAATAAACTGATATTTTTAAATTGTTTCCTTTCTGCGTGTTTCTTTGTGTGGAGTTTTGTTTGTTTCTACTCTTGAAAACTCTGTGGTTCCTTCTATCCATCCAACCTGTACACATTTACATCCTACAGATGTAGAGGTTGATTTGGGATGGTCTGATATACGGCTGAACATTAGAGCAGCCCTCAAACTGCTCTAACATAAGCCAGCTGCTCATGGCCCTCCAGGGGCTGCTCTGGCAACCAGGGGTAACAAGGGTATAGGGATGTCCTGGCCGTGATCCCTTGTAAATAGACAGTATCGCCTACACTGGGCTAAATGTCTATGCAAATATGCAACAGATCATGCCCATAATGTGTTCACATCCACAATTATCTATTTGCAAGTTTCACCTAGTTTGGGTGCAGCATATTTGCTTATTTAAAAAAAAAAAAAAGATGAAAATAACAGCACTTCAGAAAATTAATTGAATTCGGAAGTGCAAATTCCATGATGAAGCACAGCAAGGATGTGCAAACGTGTGTTCTGTGGAGTATAGTACATCCTGTTTTGATAATTTTTGAACTTGATCCTCCAGGAAGGATTTTTACCTCTTGGCAAACTTTTCTGTTTAGAATTGTTCATGGTTGGGAGGCTTTTAATGCTCCATTATCCAATGGGGCAAGATTGGTAAAATTTGTGGAATTAAGCCTTGTATCTTTGTTAGGGTAAAAATACCTGCCAGATTTCCTGCTTCAATAGGCAAGGCCATGTACAGCATACTAGCATTTTTTCTAAAAAAAAATTCCTATCGTATCTCCACTGGTGTAATGGAAGGAGTGCTATGTAGACAAACTACTGGTGTTTTAACCACCGTGTCATTGAGACCTACTGTGAAAAGGGTTAGAGGGCACAGTGATTAAAACAGTGGCAACATTAGCTCTCCTCCGGTTGCCACCACTTGCTGAAGTTGCATTGATGCTAGGGCAAGAGGGTGAAACTTACAGAAAATTGCTAGTGTAGACACAGCATGCGAGACAGTGGTCCTAATATAAAGGATGAGGTAGATTTATATTATCCCTTGTTACTCAGCAAATTCTGATTGCAAAGAGTCATTTCATTGGCTTAAAATCACTTTAGTAGTGTGGCCTAGTAGATAGTGCTTGACTGGGACTCAGTAAACCTGGCTTCTATTCCTGGGCCTGCCACTGGCCTGATGGGTCACCCCATGTGCCTCAGTTTCCCCATCTGGAAAATGGGAGATAATCAGACTGTCCTCTGTGGTAAAACTCTTTTTAAGATCTACTGATGAAAAGTGCAATATAAGAGCTAGGTAATATTATCATTAGCATGTCTTACATAAAGCTTTTTCATCGTTAAGGCATATTGCATCTGACACATTCTTGTACAGGAACTCCAGTATGGTCAATTATTCAGGGATCTTGTAGCAGAATGTGTTAGACCTATATATTCAGTGGCCACTGTTTGAAAATAACATGTTCATTCCAGTATCCTGGGCCCACATTCCTCCTCTTAATGTAAAACCATTTGCTATAGGTGAGCTATTGTAGCCTACCTGTGGCTGTAACAGTATCTGACATGGTCTTATAAGGTGAGTGAAGTAATATCTTTTATTGGACCAGCTTCTGTTGGTCAGAGACAACCTTTCAAGCCACACACTTCTTCAGGTCACGCAGAGCTCTGTGTTGCTCAAAAGCTTGTCTCTCTCACCCACAGAAGTTGGTCCAATAAAAGATATTACTTCACCTACCTTGTCTCTAATATATTGTGACTGACACGGCTACAACTACACTGCATACATGTCTTATAAAGCACTTAGGGACAGCTGGACTGTGAAAGGGTCTATATAAAATCAAATTACACTCCGTATATCAGTTGTAATTTTTAAAAATTATTTTTGAGTCTCGAAAAGGAAAACACAGGGTGTAAACAAATACAAAGACCATAGGTGAAGTATTGGTTATAAATGAATACCTATGGCCTAACTATCAAAAGTAGATCCCCTAATCAGTATAAACAGAATTTGTCAGAACTCCGTTCTTTAGCCCTCCACAAGGATTTTGGTAGCTTTTTATTAGTAATAAAATTCCTCACTAGATGAGCCATAAGGAGCCAGATTGGAGTATTTGGGACCAAACTACTGGGGAAGGGAATAAAAGAGATTGGGGAAGTCTATTTAGACTGCAAGTAAATAATACTAAACTAGGAGAGTGGAGCGCTGCACAACTAAAATTATTTGCAATGTCCAGTGCTGTGGCAAATGTTATTTAAAACGTTAAAATATTTTATACATACAGAACAATACGATGATATGGCATTGTCTCTTCAGACTGCTTTCAACATCTGCTTGTATAGGTTTTCTAAAGTTTTTGGGTTTTTTTTCCAGATGCGATAAAAAGACATGCAGTAAATTTTAGTAAGAAGGTTAAATGCTCCTAATAAAAATCTATTTCAGAAGTGAATAGAATGAAAAGATTAGAAAAGTTGTGGAGAGAACATCTATCTGCTTGTGAGAGGTGTAAGGGGATGGGAGATAAAAACTCAGGAATAGATTTGCAGATCTCTCTACACTACAGACTTACCTCCTCTAAACAGTTCGTCTAGTCAAAGCCTTCTCATATTCATAGAGTCATAGAATATCAGGGTTGGAAGGGACCTCAGGAGGTCATCTAGTCCAACCCCCTGCTCAAAGCAGGACCAATCCCCAGACATCTTTTTGACCCAGATCCCTAAATGGCCCCCTCAAGGATTGAACTCACAACCCTGGGTTTAGCAGGTCAATGCTCAAACCACTGAGCTATCCCTCCCCCTTCTAATAAGGAGCTTTAATGTTGTATTTAAAACTCAATCCAATGTGGTGGGAAGCTTAGCTATTGTACAGCACCAGCCACTGCTCTGTAGCCATTACATATGAAAGCTGTTGGTAACAAATGAAACCCAAAACTAGACTATTTCCTGGAAAGGAGTCTTTAAGAGAATACATGTGTATTCTGCAAGCTATAATAAACTTTTGTGGGTGATAGGTCTATTGTATATTTCTTCTAAGGACAACTTTCTAGGAAAACACCAACTTAATTTAGGTTTGGAGGGGGTGCTTATTGTAGTGGTAAATGCTTCCTTTACATAAATAAGGCAGTAGCTGCTGTTGTAAATAATTGCTAAGCTTCTGATGACACCAAACCCAAGCCTCAATACCACAAATGAAAACAGGCTCTGAGTTTTACTTAAGTGGAAATAAGCATCCAATAAAAACATCACTTTCTTTAAAGTGTGAAAATAATAGGATTGTGAAAATGATATGCTATTGTTATTTTCACTGCGGTTACTAGCAGGAGACAGCCTTTAAAAAACAAAGTAATCGTGGCTTGAAGTGGATTTTTTAAGATTGTTCGGCGGTATATGTGGGGAGCAGAATGCAGCTTTTAATCTTTATTCATTTGGGATGGCCTACCGTAAGTGGCTTATGGCTGAGACTTGCTCTGTCACTTGGGAGCTACCGCATGCAGCCATCCTAAACTCATCAAAGTGTTATCCCACAATTCTCCCTTGCCTTTCTCCGGACGGGGTCTTTTTTTAATATGTTTAATTTTGCAGCGTTTGTTCAGTTTCACAAAAGAGGAACAATATTGTACTAAGACAGTGGTTTACAGGACAAAATCCTCTTCTCTTTACCAATGAGTTTAAGATGACGTCTTACAAGGTATAACCTGGGCCCAGTCCAGGAGTAGATAAGAGGGGAGAGACCTAGATGGTGAAGGGGTGAAAAAGTTAATTGGAGGGAAAACAGAGAGGTTCGAACACAGATGGGAAAATTGAAGCAAATGTAAAATTAGAGACAACAAATCATAAAATAGGGATACAATGAAGTTGGTTTTTTTAGCAATTTCCCCAAATATTACAGCAATATACATGATATCTTCTTGCTGGTGATTTCAAGGGGACATTATTGCTTCAGAAGATGGAGGTGTGGAGGTTTGGGATGAAATCCTGTGCCATTGACTTCAATGGGGCAGGATTTCACTCTTGGTTGTCAATGGGACAGGAAGGGGAATAACATGCTTTGGTTTTATACGTTGGTGGAATTTACTTTTTGAATGTTTTAATGATTTGTTGAGTCTGAGACATTCCTGAATTTTTTTCTGGACCTGTGCTTTTTTCTGTGCAGTAATTCATATACTGGCAACATTACTTCACATAGATACCATGTAGGCTTATTGATTTATTTGCATACAGTCTTTGTTTTCATATGGCTTGCCTTTCTAAACAGCAGAAACTGGACTAGTGCAGTGTTACCTTATTGAAACTGCAGACAGAGTCTGTAGATATGACTCAGAAATGACTGAGTAGTAAAAACTCCCTGGTTCATCCCAGCGGAGTGTCACTTCTGAGGCTTTGTGGTTATTTAAATGTCAGAGTTAACTATTTGACTGCTGGTCATTGTAGCAGAAACACTCAGATATGCTGGGAATGTGGGCAGAGTTTAGGTGAAGTACCACACCTTGTCTCCCATATCTCATCTGACAGACATCACGTAACTGAACACAGTCATTCAGCAACATAAATCTGTTGTTGGAAGGTTTTTTGCAACCATAAGGGCTAAAAACTTAATCTAAAAAATGTGAAAGCAGAAAATGATGAGACCACTATTCAATGCATGAAATATCTCAGTGGCTGGTAGATTATGCATAATGCCTTATAAGACCCATCAACTTTTCCCCTTAAGGCATCCTAATTGGATCTTTAGATTTTCTACATACGTCACCAAATTCAGTACTAATTTTCTTGTCTATTTTCTTTGAAAGGAACTCTTAACTGAAATACTACTTGCAGTCCCAGACAATAATATACATACAAATTCATTTGTCCAGTTGCATTCCTTGTCCGGGAGTGTTGATATATTTGTGCTATTAGTGCTTTCTTGAGAATTGATAAGTCTGTCTACCTGTAGACAAAAATCCATTCTGAAGTGAAATTCCTAATTTATCTGTTTACTTGTTTATTTTGTGTTATAATCATTATTAGTCGA